ATATATATAGATATGTATATATAATGTCGGAGTGTTGGGGCCCCCGGCCCCCCCGGGACAGAATGACAAATGGGCCACCCCCTGGGTAACCCCATTTAGCACCCGGAGCCAGGGACCTGTTTTGTGCCAGTTACGGGCTGGTCTCATTTCCCTGGAACGCTCCATGGACGGGCCAATATGCCTTCCGGACGGCCCAAGATAGATTCAAGACGGCCCAGAAGGCTCCCAAGACGCCCCAAGAGGCCCCCAAGGGGCCCCCCACGAGTGCCCCAAGAAGCAAAATTCGTCCCATTCCCATGGGGAAACGTAGATTTTTAGCATATTCGCCTCTTGGGTTTTCACAGCGTCCACGATGGCCCAAGAGGCTCCCAAGACGGCTCAGGAGACACCCGAGAGGGCTCCAAGACAACCCAAAAAGGGCCCAAGACGGCCGAAGAGGCCATCAGGACGGCACCAGAGAGCCCCAGAACGAACCCAAGATGGGTCCCAGAGCAGGAAAATCAAATTTAAATTTCGAGCCTTCGGCCCCAGGAGGCACCCAAAGGCCCCAAGACGTCCCAAGAGGCCCCCAATAGGCCCCCAAGACATCCCTAAGAGGTTCCCAGGAGGCCCCAAAGAAACCCCAAAACTGCTTGCAATACACTTCCGAGAGGCTTCGAAGATGCATCCACAACGCCCCCCAAAAAACACCCAAAATTGGCTCCAAGATGCTCCCACAACGTATACGTTTTACACAAAAATGCTGCAAATCATATGTTATTTCATGGATTTCGCGCTCCCTGATGGCGCCCCAGAGGGCCACGCGGGGCCAACTTCTTTGATTTTTGCTCGGTTGCTGAAGGGTTTCCATGTTGCCCCCTTCTAGAGCTTCCTGCGATCCAACACAGCCCAGGCGGCTCCGACGACCGCCCCGAGGCAACTTCTGCATCTCTCCCTTACGCCCGAGCCCGCCCAAGAGCGCCCCGACAGCGCTACACAAAACGGCCAAGAGGCATCCAAGAGAGGTTCAGAACGTACCCAGCACGAGGAAACCTGGTCGCCACGACCCCGAACCTGCCTCCCCAAGAGCTTCTGGAGGAGCCCAAGAGAACCCCAAGGGAGCGCAAAATGGCCCGCGCGCGCCCGAGATGGCCCAAGAAGGCTCTTAGGTGACCTTAGGAGCCTAGGAGGTCCCGAGATGGATCCATTTGCCTGCGGATGCCCGGAAACCCCATGGCCCGCAGTATGAGTTTAATGACACGCGCTGGAACAGTCCGCAACACGCTGTCATGCCCTCCCCCCAACATCTGCCGCCAGTCCAAACTGCACTTTCTTGGTTCAACTCACCCTCCAGCGCTGCTGTTTCGAGGCGAGCCCAAGTTGGCGCAACTTGCGGCCTCCACGCACTCAATCACTGCATGGTTCTTGTGAGCAAAAGTCGATCGCAGCCGCAGTCCACGCTTGCCAAAGCACAGTTCGAACACGCAGCTCTCACAGCATGCCTCGGGGACGTTCATGCGAACCTCATCGAACCCGGCGGAAGCAACTATGATATCGCAATTCTTACATGCAATTTCACCCGCCAGAACGTTGTGACTTTTCCTTTAACGACAGAAGACATTCAAGAACGCTTGGGCCATCCGTACGCTCCGCACTGCACGGTAGAAGGCGCATTTACTACTGCCGCTTTCCTGATTCGCAAACCTTCTGCAGGAGGTCATTGGATAGCATTGCTGCCGATCGCGCACGTCCACGGATTCGAGACTGCGTCTGCAACAGCGTTGCTTCGTGATTCCTTGAACGCTTCCCCCCACTACGCACAACTTCAGGATGTGGAACAGATTTTGGCGATCTGCGCCTTCGAAGCCTCGCGGGCCGCCTCTCGACAGTGGCAGTGTTTCTTGATCGGCGTTCCCACGCATTATGCCCAGGCTGGCAGTTAAGCATCACATCGCGCACTGTAGAAGAAATGATGAAGCCTGCTGCTGCCACCACAGTAAAAGCTGCCTGTCTACTCCTGCCCAGTAGCTACCAGCATTCTTCCAGACAGTCCTGCCGAAGAGTTAGTGCGCCACGTCTGTGTTTTCGACACCGAAACACCCTGCTGCGACGCTGGCGCGCGCATGCGGGCACAGGATTTCAGAGTTTTCGCGCTTGAGCAGCTGTCCTGAAAAGTCGTCTCATGCACCTGTTCGCGCGCACGCTCTTCAACGTCTCAGGGCCGACGGGCTCCTGTTTCCTGGTCGGCAGGCGACGCGCGCCAAAGTATACAGGAAAGCGCGCGTCGTGGCAGCACTGTGCCATTCGCACGTGGCTTGTACCGAGGAGCACATTTGTAATCTATCTAATTGAAGCCCTTGCCTTGCGTGATTCGGCGAAGTTGGCTACTGCAACGCGACCATGGTGAAACGCATGGCGCGTCGCTTCTCCCGACTTCAGATTTGTTCGCTGCGACTGCCCTTGACCGACTTGCCGAGAGAGTTGACGGAAAAAACGTTGGCGCACTTTGTTGGAACATTTTTTGCGTGCGCTCACCGTCGGGCTCGATATCCGGAGGGTTGCGCCCTGTACCGCCAGCCCCCGAGGCTGACCCACGTACCGACCATTTTGGGAGCAGCTTTGGCGCAATGATGCGGCATTTCGGAAGCATGTTCGACAATCTGGAGCCGGTTTTGGACCATATTTGGTGAGTTTGTGGGCCCACATTGAAGGCTCCTTGGAACTATGTTCGGGGCTCTTTGAACCATATTGGGCGATTCGGGCGAAATGTTTGGAGCCTCTTGGAGGCCACGTCCAGGCAGCCTGGGCATACTCGGTGGCTCTGGAGCCGTTTTGATGTATCTTTGGTCATTGTCATCGTCATTATCGCCCTCATTGTGTCGGAACACAAAGTGGTTCGCGGGGCGAGCACACCAGTGGAATCACTAACCTTGCTCCCGAAATTTTTAGGCTGGCGGCCGGGCGCACATAACGATCTGGACGGCGCCCCCTGGACTCACCTGAGGAGGAGAAGGAGGAGGAGGAGGAGGAGGAGGAGGAGGAGGAGGAGGAGGAGGAGGAAGGAGGAGGAGGGAGGAGGGAGGAGGGAGGCCTTCATCGTTTATTCGGTTTTCCGACGCTCTTTGACGGCCCAAGAAGCCTGGAAGACCGCCCCAAGACGGCCCAAGAAACCCCCTGGAGAGCCCCAGGACGGCCCAGGGGGACGCCGAGACGGCCCAAGAGACGCCCGGGACGGCCCAGGAGAGCCTCAAGCTGGGCCCACGAGAGGAACCACGAACTGAAAAATCGAGTTCTCCACCCCAGCTTGCTTCATTTCCCTTTTTCCATTCATGCTCCCTCCGCCCACCCCTGCTTGAATCGTCGCTCATCCATCTTTCCGCCCGTATCCCCGCTTCTCGCTTCCTCTCTCCTCATCCTTTTTGTTTTTTTCCTTCCTCCCTTCCTTTGAGGCAGAGACCTGATGGCACTTTCGACCGCCAGCCCAGGTTCCCCGGGATCTCTCCTTCGGCTCCCCATCCCTGAGTTCTTTGGGTTCCTGGGGTTTCTCGGGTTCGTCAGGATCCTTGGATTGTTTTGCACTGCGTTGCATTGTGCTGCATTGCGTTGCTCTGCAGCGCCTTTACCTCGTCCCCCCCGCCTCCCCAACCCCCACATCGTCTTCCTCCTGTTTCCTCCTCCCTCTTTTTTCCTCGTTTTCTTCCCCCCCTCGCCCCCCTCCATGATCCCTGGTGGGAGGAGAGGGTGAACGGGAAAGAGGAGGGGGAAGAGGCTGGGAAACCCTCCCTGAGAAGGTCGCCCCGGCCAGAAGAAAGAGAAAGAGGATAAGGAGGATGAGGATAGAAAGGAGGGAACGGGGACGACGGGGAGGAGGAGGAGGAGGAGAAGGCGCACGGAGGGGATGGAAGGGATGGATGGAGGAGCGCGAGAGGCGACGGCTGCACGAGGGGGAGGGAGGACAGCGAGGAGGAGAGGAAGGATCAGGACGATGATATGGATCAGTGCAAGGAGGAGGATGGGAGGAGGAGTAGACGCCAATCCCAGTATGCAAATGACAAATGTCGTCAATGTCCAGGAAGTAAATTTCCTGCTCCCCTCCTGGAGCAGAGGAGCCACGAAACCAGCGCAAGCGGGCGCCAACCTCAACGCACAACACGGCATGAATTCCATGTCTCGTGGCAGCATTTGGGCCTGCGCTAGAACCTAAGCGCGCGCGAAGCGCGCGCGTGGTTTTAGTGCTTCAAATTAGCCAACACCACACAAGCCACATACGTTAGCATCAGGTGGCAAATCCACCACATTTAGTACAAGCGGCATCGAGCGTGCACGCCCCTCTTCCTCTCCTTTCTCGTCATGGTCCTCCTTCCTCCTCCGTCCCGTCTCCCTCCTCCCAATCGTTGTGTACCGATTTGTGTGCGTCCAGGCGGGCTGGACGTTGCGAGGCCGTGGAAAGCCCCGGGCGCTCGTCGAGCGTGCACGCCCCTGTTTCTCTCCTCCTTCCTCGCCCGCCGCCGCCCAGCTATGTTGGCGTGCTCGGGCCGAATTCGTGCATGGGGGGCCATGGCCCCCTGCTGCAGCCCTTCGACCGGGCCTCCTCTGGTCCGCCCGGCCGCCGACTCGCCGAAGAGTCTCCGCGTACGCATGGAGGCGGAGGCGGGGGATACGTGGGAGGTGGAGGCCAGGAGTGTGGAAGATGATGTGGGAGGAATGGAGGTGGGAATTATGGAAGAGGACGAGGAGTCGAAGGAGGCGCCGAACGAGTAGAATGAGGTTGAGGAGGACGAGCCCGAGGAAGGGGAGGACATTGCGCAAATTAGAATGTAATGTCATGAGTGCCTACATCCACTGTAGAAGTGGCAGTTAGCGCGACCACCTGATAACAGGCAGGGCCACTTCGTGCTTGCATACCCCGAAGGTCATTGAGTGCATCTAGCAAGAATAGGGAACAGATCGGGCAACGGACGATGTGCGAGAGATTGAGCATGCCCCGCCCGATCTTTCCAGAGCCGCGAAACCCTGCGGAGGTGGTTGGCGTGTGTTGGGCCGCGGTGGTCGGCCGTGCATGCGGTGGTACCCTGGATGCCGTCGGTGGCCGCCGGCTCAGCTCTGGCTGCGGACAAGTTTGCCGACAGCTTCCCCCCCTCCTCTCCCCTCTCCCCCTGCCCGTCCCCTCCCGCTGCCCCTGCCCCTCGGCTCACTCCACCTTCTCCCCGCCCCCCATTCTATTTGTTTGAATACCCGTCACTCCCCTTCCCCTTCCCCTCCTCATCCTCATCCTCCTTGTTCTCCTCTTTCCCTCATCCTCCTCCCCTTCTTCTTCTTCCGTAGCCATTTTGGGTCACGCCGTCTTGCGGACGACCTTGAGCTGGTTTGGCATGTGCAGCTGGTGTTGGAAGGCTGCCGCTCCGTTTTGACGGATGACAAACCCCTGGAGGTCTTCGGTTTGACTTGCCCGTCCTCCTCGTCCTCCTCTTCCTCCTCCTCTTCCCCTCCTCGTCGTCCTCCTCGTCCTCTCTTTCTCCTCCTCGTGGTCGTTATCGTAGTTGTCGTCGTCGTCGTCAGCGTCCTCGTCATCAGCGTCCTCGTCGTCAGCGTCCTCGTCGTCAGCGTCCTCGTCGTCAGCGTCCTCGTCGTCGTCATCGTCGTCGTCGCGGCTGAGATCATTTCCCCACTATCGTGAGAATGTTGGGGGTCTCTTTCTCCCAGGGAAAAGCTCATTGTGGTCTACCCTACACGCGAGAGGATGTGTGAGCATCTTCTCATGAGGATTGCAGTAGGCATCAGCGGTTGTGGTTGTGGTCGTGATTGTAGTCGTGCTTGTAATCGCGACCGTAATCGTGAGTGCCGTCGCGATTGTAGTCGCAGTCGTGGCTGTAGTCGTCGTCGTCGTCGTCGTCGCCGTCGACGCGTCGGGGATTATTTTACCACTATTGTTGGGTGGGCTGGATAATGTTGGGTTTTGTCCTTCAGGGAGTAACCAATTGTTGGATACCCCACACACGAGAGGATGTGTGAGCATCTTCTAATGAGGACTGCAGTAGAAATCAGCGGTTGTGTTGGTAATCCTGGTTGTAATCGGTATTGGAATCGTGATTGCAATCGTGATTGTAGTCGCGATTGTAGCCGCAATCGCAGCCGTGGTTGTAGTTGTAGTCGTACTCGTTGTCATAATCGTAGTCGTCGTCGTCGTCGTCTCGGCGGAGATTCGTTTCCCTCTATTCTTCGGCGGGCTGGAGAATGTCGTGGAGTCTTTCTCCCAAGGAACAGCCCCTACACGCGAGAGGATTTGTGGGCATCTTCCCATGAGGACCGCCGCAGGAATCAGTGTTTGTCGTTGTAGTCGTGGTTGGAATCGTGATTGCAATCTTGATTGCAGTCGCGGTTGTAGTCGTAATGGTAGTCGCGATTGTAGTCGCAATCGCAGTCGCAATGGTAGTCGTAGTTGCAGTCGGAGTCGTAGTCCTCGTCGTCGGCGTCGTTCCTGGGCGGCGGACCTCGCGGAACAGATCATTATTGTCCATGATAGGTGGGGCCCCGGTCCCTCAATAACGCCGACGGAAAATAATGAGTTCCCAACAAATCTGGGGTGGTCTGAAGAATTGTCGCGGTTACGAAGGGCTGTCTGCGGATGTGGCGGCCCAGTGTGTTGAAGATGATTGAGAAGGGATCCATCGGCGCCTGCGTGGGGAGATTTGCTGCTCGGCGACGTGCTCGCGCTGCCTTGGAAGCAACGCTACGGCGGGTTGTGGCGGCACGCGGTGCCCGGGTTCGTGGGTGGACCGCGGCCGAACGTCCAGGCTGGTATCGAGAGACTTGCTGCAAAGGAAGGTCATGTTTGTGGCGCGATGCGGTTCAGGCGGAACACTCCCTGACATTCGCGCCGACTGCCGCCTGGCGGGTTTTCGGCCGCATCCTCGGCGGACCTGTCCAGGGCTGCTGCTGGCTTTCGGCTGGGACACGCCACAGGCGGCGTGTGTGCCGAGGCATCGCCGCTCTTGCCGCTGGCTGCCCGCCGCGCGGCTGGCGTGCGCTGCGCATGCAGAGCCACGGTCTGGCCGCTGTCTGGCGCCTCACCCGTGCGGCCGGTGGTGGAGAGACAACCGTGGTGCAGGCGGTCGTGCAGATTCATCATCCTGCCGTCGGGGTGCCCCCCCCCCCGCGGTGGATGGCTCTGGGGGGAAGACGCGCTGCAGATGCTGAGCGTGTCGGAGTCCGAGCATGGCGAGAACGTTGCCGTGGACTCGGAGGTGGCTCGGGGGCGCGTGGCTCATCCTGAGTCGTTGCGGGACGCTGGCGCAGGTATGGCGTCTGGCTACCCTGGAGCACGACGTGTGGAGTCGGCAGGGGGAACTGTGTCGGATCTCCCCGTCGCGGTGCAAGATGGAAGTGCGTCGACGTGGTCGTCGAGGAGTTTCCGGACGCTCTGGTCTCGCAGGCGTCCGTGGCAGGTGCATAGGTGCAAGCATACGGCCAGACGGGCGAGCGCTACGGTCTTTCGGAGGTTCCAGTCAATGTGAGCGAAGTCTCGCACAATTGTCACCGTGTGAAGGGAGCTGCCGCGGAGGCTCGTGCTCCTTCTGCAGCGTGAGGCTCTCCATTTTCCAGTTGCTTCACGCTTGGAGTGACTTTATCCCCGTAGTCCCGCAATCCCCCTCGTCCTCGTCGTCTTCCTCCTCGTCCTTCTCCTTGTCGTTCTCCTCGTCCTCCTCCTCGTCCTCCTCCTCGTCCCCCTCGTCGTCGTCGTCCTTCTCCTCCTTCTCCTCCCCTCTCTCGTCCTCTGCCTCGTCCTCTCCCTCGTCCTACTCGACATGCTTGAGGCAGGAAGGAGCGCACGCTCGCCCGCATCTTCCCCGTTCTCGTTCCCTGCTCCCTTTCCCCACTCCGCCGTGCTACCCTCGACTGCAGTAAGGAGCAAAATGGGGAGGAGGAGTGGGGCCACGCTCGGGAGGAGGAGAGGGAGAAGGATGAGGAGGATGATGAGGAGGAGAAGGAAGAGGAGGAGGAGGATCAGGCGGAAAAGGAGAAGGAGGGTACGGTGGAGGAGGAGGAGGAGGAGAAGTTGCACCCTCGCGTTTACTGCCCACGCCCTAGCTTCTTCCCTCCTTTTTCCGCCCTGCACCGTCCCGCCCAGTGTCGCTCCCTCCCAGCCCGTCCGGTCCCATCCCCTGTTTGCCTGGTGCCGTCGCCCCCTCGTCCTGCCCTCTCCTCTACGTCTCCCCTCTTCCCCTCCCGCATCCCCCTTCTTGGATGGGGCTGGGACGAGGAAGCACAAGTTCCAGAGCGTTCCGGAACGCTCTCAGAGCGTTAACGCTCTGAGAAGGCCGTGGCGCCCGAGACATCCTCCAGAGCCGCCGGATTTCGGAGATCCTCGATTTATCCGCACCCGATCTAATCCTTGTCCTGGCTTCGTCTTATCCTCGTCCTTCCATCCCCCCTCATCCTTCCCTCCTCCACCCTCTCTCCTTGCACCCTGCCTCCTCGCCCCATCGCCCCCTCATCCCTGCAGTCCGTTCTCCCTCGCCCCTCGTCCCTCCCCGCCTCGTTCCCCCTCCGTGCCAAACACGCAGCGCCAGTCCGGGCTCTCCTCCAATGGCCTTTGCTGCTGCCCCGCCTCGGCGGCCCGAGGTTGGGGCGGCAGCGGCTGTGCGCAGGGCTGGCTGCACTCGCTGCTGGACGCCACCGTCGGGGTGTGGGTCATGCGGCGCGTCCTGCGGTACTGCCTGCTGGACCGCAGCGCCGCCCCCCCTCCTGCGGGAAGCGAAGAGTCGGGCGGCTACAGTGTCCTTGGCGTCGCTCGGACTTGTGCGTTTTTCTCGGCGAGGCTGGAGCGAGAACATATGGAACACCTTGAGAGAAACGCGCGCGCACACGCTCTGGACCGAACAATGCACGCGGAATGGACGTCCGAGCGATGGCAAGTGCCTCACTGCGCTTTTCTGGGCTGCCGCCGTTGCCCCCCCCCCCCCCTGCCTTCCTGCCAGAATGCATCTTTGCACACGGCCACGTGCCGTGAGATTCGAAACGCCCTTGGCTTCGAGCAGTCAAGGACGTGCACGGTCTTCATTGAAAACAACACATGAAGAGACGAATATTTGCTCACAATCACATTCGACGACCTTTGGATGTCAGGGTTCAGATGAGTTTCTGAGCCGAGCTTATGTGGGCCTCTTGCTGGTCCAGGGCGGTTCGATCCTTGGCGTGCTGTTCACGGGCCAATCTTGGCCTGCCTGTCTCCTCCATAGGTTCGCTGCCCTTGCGCTGTCTGACACACAGTGCAGGGGCAGGCGGCCTCAGGTGTGGTGAGGGCAGGCGGCAGGGAAGGGCCGAACGTCGGAGCTGGCTGGGGATCTGAGGTGGTCCAGCACTGGTCCTGGCCAGCAGGGAGGGATGGGCAGGTTCGAGGTGCTGGCTTCGAGAAGGGCCGCCTGCGGGGCCCAGGACCGTCAACAACGTATCCAAATCGAAGGTCTGATCACTTGCAGAGCGGCCCATGCGAGCGAGGACCAAGATCGGAACATCATGAGTATTCGGAGCACGTCTGAGCCGATTGTTCGATGAGGCTGTGGGGAAGGTTGCGTGACCCCACTACATGTTCGATCGGCAAGGTCGGACTCCCCACTCTGCGCAGGTGCTCGGGCGCGGGGCCTCTTGAACAGACCCTCAATGCAGCGGCAAAGGGCGACGATGCAATCTTGGGGCATATCGAAAGCCTCGATTCCCAACCCCAGTACTTGAGCTTCGGGAGGAGTCACGTGACGACACCTGCGAGCTTGCGGGGGGCGCCTCTGGAGGCTCTGGGATCACGCTCGAGCAGAAAGCCAGTCGTCTCTTCATGCGATTCTATTTGTATCAAGGACCATCAAGGACATGATGGAACTCGCATGGCTGCGTTCATGTACATGCCCTCTACGTTTCTGAACAACTTATCGTTTGAGCAGATGTAGACGCACGTGTGTAAGCACACGTGTGCACTGGAGATTTGGACGCTCACGTGTTTTCGCCGCATGCGTGCGAACAGATGGAGGTGTTCACGAGGGGCAGAAACAACATATTTGCACGCGCACGTTCGCTTGCAATGTTGCCCTGTGGAGGAGGTGCAGCGGCAAGTCGGAGAAGACGTGGCGAAGCAGCTCGCATCGGGCGGCCAGGATGGTTCTCATTACTTCGAGGCTTCATCTGCATTGTTGAAAACGGGCTTTGCTAAGGGCATACCACGTGTAATCCAAAGAGCGGCACAGGTAGACATGGGACGCATGAGCTGAGGGCGAATCCATATAAGAAAGATGAGCTCGCGGGTGTTGCCAGACATCGATCAGGTGATCCTGGCGCACGGGCTCAGCTTCGATAGCGATGTTTGGTGTTTGTATTCTCGTGCGGTTTGGCAAGGGGCGCGCTCACGTCAGTCCCCTAGGACTTGCGCTTCCCGCCCGCGTGTGTGTGTGTGTGTGTGTGTGTGTGTGTGTGTGTGTGTGTGTGTGTGTGCGTGCGTGCGTGCGTGCGTGCGTGCGTGCGTGCGTGCGTGCGTGCGTGCGTGCGTGCGTGCGTGCGTGCGTGCGTGCGTGCGTGCGTGCGTGCGTGCGTGCGTGCGTGCGTGCGTGCGTGCGTGCGTGCGTGCGTGCGTGCGTGCGTGCGTGCGTGCGTGCGTGCGTGCGTGCGTGCGTGCGTGCGTGCGTGCGTGCGTGCGTGCGTGCGTGCGTGCGTGCGTGAAAGCGTGCGTGCGTGCAGCCTGGCTCAAGCCTGGTTCAAGCCGGGCTCAAGCCGTTCTGGTTCAAGGGAGCCGAGCAGGCTTGCGCGGCCGGGGCCTACCCCTCGGTTTCCATCCTGGCCGCCTGCGAGGGCCGGGAGGGAGCCTCGCTCCTCACTCCGGGCCTTCCCCCCCGGGCCATGGAGAGTCGTGCGGCGCGGCGGCGGCGGCAGCGGCGCGCGGCCGCGCCGCCTGCGCCGCTGCGCTGCGGCGCCCCCCGGTTTGGCGCCCCCAGGCGCTGGCCGTGCCCGCGATCGGTCGGCGCCGCCGGCCGCCAGCGCTGCCTGCGAGCCGCCGGCTGGCGCCGCCGTCGCGGTCGCCGCCGTCGCGGTCGCCGCCGGCGCTGCCGCCGCCGGCGCTGCCGGCGCTGCCGCGGCGGCCGCGGCCACCGTTGTTGCTGAGGCCGTCGCTGCGGCCGGCCACGGCTGTGCTGCAGCGACCGCCGCCGCCGTGGCGCGCGCCGCCACGCTGTCGCCTGCCGCTGCCGCCGCGGCCAACGTGGCGGCAGCGGCCGCGGCCGCGGCCGCCGCGGCGGCTGGCGTTTCCGCCGGCCCTCAGGGCCGCTCCGCCTGATGCGACTGGGCGCCGTGCGCAGGATTCCCGTTGCGCGCGTCCGACAGCGAGGTGGGCGCCCAGGACGACGTCGACCAGGAGGTGGAGGAGGAGGTGCGGCATGAGGCGGGGGCGGGGGCGGCGGCGGTGGCGACGGAAGCGAAGCCGGGCATGGCGTTGGCGGCGGCGGCGGGGGCACTGGTGGAGGCGGCGGGGGCGTAGGTGGCGGCGGCTGTGACAGTGGTATCGTTGTTGGATGTGGAGGTCGAGGAAATGACGGACGAGGAGGCGGGGACTGCGCCTGCAACACCCTCGTCGCCATGGCTGAACTGGGGGAGTCGGAGACCCTGGACCTAGACCCGAAACTGCTACACCTGATGACGCGCCTCGCCAGGGATGTGAATAAGACCCAGGCTGCGGGCAAAGCTGGCGGGGCGACCCCACGGACTCTCCAGGGATCGGGCCCCCAGGGCCCCCCCTCGCCCCTGGGCCCCCCCGTTGTGAACTCCAGCCTGCCTTTCCTGCGGCTCGACGTTCCTTGCCTCGGGTTCGCCGCTGTCCGCGGGGAAGTCGCCGTTCCGCCCCGCCGTATCTCGCCGCGATTGGCGCGGCAATGCGCGGGGGAAGGGGAAGGGATTGCCGCGGGCAGCGCCGGCTCTCCTGGGGCGGGGTTGCCAGAGGCACGACGGCCGGCTGCTACCTGCGACGGCGCGCCAGGAAAGGGAGCAAAACAAGATTCAGGCAGCGGGCAAGCCCGGTCGACTGACGGCGCCCAGGCGGCCGGCAGCGTCGACGGCCAATCAGATTCGCCGCGCGCCCAGCACGACCCTTAGGTGATCCAGAGACCAAGCCCGCGAGCCCCCCCCGCCGAGGGGCGGGGGCGGCGCCCTTGGAAAGAAGGCAGCCTCGCGACGGCCCTGGTCCAAGACGGCCACGGCGGCGACGACGACGGCCCTCCTCCACTTGGTTCGCGCGGCCCCCCTGGACCGCGGCGGCAGTCGTCTGGGGGGCGCCGGGGTCCCCGAGGAACTGGCGAAGCCCATGCACGAGGCGCTGCGATCAGCAGCGAACCTCATCCGCGCGGGGAGGGCGGCGACGGGCGCCCGGGCGCCCGGGGGGGGAGGCGGGGATTCTCTGGGGGGCGGAGGGCCCTGGGGGGGCGGGGGAAGGGGGCATCTCGGCACCGCCGCGCATCTTGGAGAGCCCCTGCTGCCGCGGCCAGCTCCTCGGGGCGACCTTGAAAGGGTGGGTCTTTCCACCGCTGCCCGCCCTGCTTCGCGGGCGGTGGTCGTTGTCGCAGATGTAAGTTGAGTTGCGATGTGCTTGTATGTTGCATGTGTGTTGCATATAAATCGGTTGCGTGTTGTTGCAGTATTTGGCATGTGCTTGTAAGTGTCGGCATGGTTATACAGGTTTGCTAAACTTATACGCGCTTGCAATGCTACGTCCTTCCTGCAATTCTCCACAGCAAATAGCAGTTTCATCAGCGCAGTTAGATCCCCGCTTATACCCAGGAATTCGCGCCGATTCGCGTATCCGCGCCAGCCCATCCAGGAAGGGCACCCAGGCGAGTTTCGAGGTGATCAGGGACGCGCGGGAGGCGAGAGGAGGACGGCCGAACCGCGTGAGGGAGAGAGGGCGCGAAGGAGACAATTCAATGGATGGGCGAGGGGGTAGGGGGGGGGGATGCGCAATTGAGCAGGGGGGGCCGGAAGGGGGGGGGGCGAGAAGGGATAGGAGGAGGAAGGAGGGCGAGGAGAGCAAGCAAAAGGGCCAGAGGTCTCCTGGATGCTTTTCGGAGCCTCTTGGGGTATCTCTTGGGCGTCTTGGGGCGTCTTGAGAGTCTCTCGGCGGTCGTGGGGGGCTCTTCGGCGTCTCGGGCGCCTCGTGGGGGGCTCTTTGGGCAGCTGGGGGCCATCCTGGGGGCCTCCTGGGGGCTTCCCGGTGCCATCTCGGGGCCTCTTCACCGGGGCCTCCCGGGCGCTTCTTGGGGCCATCTTGGAGGACGTCGATCAAATGAGGGGGCGGCTGCAATTCGCGCCCCCCCCCCCCCCTCCAACGCCCCCGCTTCAATAAAAGAAAGGCCAAATTGCGGCCGCAACCATAGTGGAACAATTTCTTTTGGTTTTCTCTCCGAGTTCGTTTTGGGCGCTCCGGCACCTCGCGGGGCCCCCTGCCCAGGCCCAGGCCCAGGGGGGGGGGGGGTAGGGGGGGGGGGGGTAAACCTTAAACCTCCCCCGAAGGGGAAGAAGGAGGGGTGGGAGAGGAAACCCCTAAACCACCGACGCCCAGAGGGCTGGTGGGATTGCGCGCTGGGGCGGTGCGAAGCGCGAAGCGCATCGCAAGCCCGCGGCCGCGTCGCGCGGCTCAAGGCACGATGCGCCGAGAGGCGCCCGAGGGCCCGCGGGCCCATCGCGGGGGCGCAGACCGGCGCAACTAACCGCCCGGCTGGCCGACGCCCCGCTTGACCCGATGATGATGATGGCAATGATGATGGGGATGGTGATGATGACGATGTCGACGGCGCTGGCGACTTCGATACTGATGGCGACGATGATGTTGTTTAGGGCGAGTTCCCCTTCGATCCTCGCCACCCCCCCGCTTCTCCTGCCCTTCCCCCCCCCGTCAATCCCTCCTCCTCATCATCGTTGCGTTTGTTCTCACCCCCCCCCCCCCTTCCTTCGCGCCCCCCGCCCCCCCCCCCCCTCGCCCCCCCCCCCCGCCCCCCCCTCGTCCTCTTCAACCTTCTGCTCCTCCGACGACGGCGGCGACAATCTCATCTGCTCGCGCCCGGCAGCGGTCGGGCATCGCGGACAATGGGCGCGCCGAATAGGAAGCGCGTAAAGATGCGCCTCGCCGCCCAAACTCTTCTATGAGCACGGCGCAGGCCGATATAATGGCGGCAGATTCACTGGGGACAGAAACCACAATGAAACTCAGAGGCGCCCTTTCGACTGAACCCAACGCGGACGCCCCCAGCGGCAGACTACTGCGACATATGAAGTTCGATGCTTCCGACGGCACTCGTGATAATTTTTCTGCGTGTTCATCCAGTTTCACTGTTGCAGGAGCTGCGTCGGCGCGGCCTCAGTCTTCAGATCTGTCGTTTTCGAGCACTGGTGATTCTCAGATCCGCGTTGGGCCCTGCGCAGATGAGATCGCGGCTGGGGGCCCTCTGAGTCCAGATCCGACCCGCGACCTGCAGTGCGTGTATTCAGGCAGCCTGCGACGTCGCCGACCCTCCAACAGTTTTCCTTGTTGTTGTTCGTAAAAAGAAAAAACAAGTGCTTCGTGGCGTCCCCCTGCGGAGTCGGTGGATTGGACAGCTGCGCAGTTCCCGTCGCGCTCGAAAGTCGAGCGCGCGGCTGATAGAAGGTGGGTTGTCTGGAATTGCGCGCAAGGCGTTGCATATGTTTGTCGGCGTGGACGCCCCGTCGTTCCGGAGTGGATTTCGGTGTTTGGACAGAGAGAGGTCGCCTCGCATTCTGACGGGGTTTTAGGGCATGTAATCCAAGACGAGAAAGCGTTCGACGGCGCATTTTCCGTGAATGGGGGCGTCGGGCGACAAACCTCGTTAGTTCTGCAGAAATCTCGTCGAGTGCCACATGTCGAAGGCGGCGGGGAACCAGCGTGCGAAGCACTTGCGCGATGCTCTTCCAGAGGAGCTCGATCTTCACATCACAGCCAGCTTTTTCGACTTTGCAGACCACGTCGATCGCCAGTCCCGCGTTATGGCCGCTGCTGCTTTGGAGCGTGAGGGGACGGCAGCGGGCCTCACATGCAATCCGCATGGCGCGAAATGGGACAAGACGTTGCGCGACGTCGCCAGTCCGATAGACCACGCGCTCTGGGGGCTTATGCTCGTGCTGTTGG